GACCCCACCATTGAATGCATTTTATCCAAATTGCTGAAGCAATTATACAATGGAGGAAAAGGTGGTCACCATCCTCCACACATTTGTTGCATAACCCGCATGTAGTTGCTTCTATTTCTGTGACTATTCCTTTTTTGAACAGATTGAGCTTTGATGGAATCCTGTCATGTAATAATAACCACGCAAACCCACAAACTTTGTTAGGAATGTGACTGTTCCATAACCTTATAAATAATGATTCTTGTGATGAAGGTTGTTGATGGACAAGTTTGCTGTATCCTAATTTCGTTGTGTATAATCCCTTCCTCTTCGCCTTCCAGATCCAAGTATCCTCCTTGTCTTTTAGGAATTCAGTCATATCGATCCATTGCGTTAAATCCTGTAGTGATTCGGCTTCCCAAGAAAACAAGCTTCGCCTCCATTCAAAGTTCCACGACCATGTTTCACCTTTCCAGCTACCCATTTCCTGTATAGAGCTTTCCTTTCCTGTAGATAGCATGTATAATCTTGGGAATGCATTAGCAAGCACTCCTGCATTGCTCCAACTATCCTTCCAAAAGCTAACACTATTTCCTTTGCCAACCTTAAGCTCATAACCATCCAATAACCACCCTCTTCTATTATCTTCCAAAACATCCAACCTACATATATCCCTCCACCATCCAAACCCACTACCTTTACCTTCCCTCACCCAGCCACACCAATTATCTTTTCTAGACCCATATTTTTATTTAATTAGCCTAAACCATAAGTTCTCCTTTCCCTCTGCTAGTCTACCCCACCATTTACCTAAGAGCGCCAAGTTAAAAAGCCCAATGTCCTTCACTCCTAGACCTCCTTCTTGTTTGCTTCTACACACTAGTTTCCAATTTACCCAGTGTATTTTCCTAGTATCCCCCCTCCCTCCCCATCAGACATGCCTTCCAAGTATTCTCCGTTGACACCATTTTCGTTGAAAATATGGCGATAGCTACCCAAATTGATCTCTTACAACCACATACCAACATCCTACAAAAACAAAAAGGCAGGGATGTAAATACATGCCATTTAACCAAATTACTTGAAGTAAAGAAATTACCTCCTAAAAGTCTGAAAGGGAAAACTCTTCAACAGAGTAACAAAGCAGAAAAAAGCATATAGATAAAGAATTTCCTTTTCAAAATACAATGACACTGCTTGATTGATTCATCAAGGTAACTAATGTGTCCATTGACAAAGATATAGAATTGCCAAAGTCCAGACATATTTAATTATTAAAAAGTTAAATGCTAATTTTGGTCCTCAACTTTATTGGTTTGCACTTTTTTGGTCACTCTATTATTTTTTTCACTTTTTTGATCCCTTAACTCTAAGAAATGCACAATTTTGGTCCTTCTGTCAATTTGGACGTTAACTCCGTCTACGTGGCATTTTTTATATTTTTTTCCTAATGACATGGATGATGCAACATAAAAAAAATACTAAAATAGACAAAACTCTATGTCAGGTCATATTCTTGCTCCTCAAACCCTCCAATGAAACCCTAGAATGCTCTCTCATCTCCAGTCCATCTGTAACATCGATCTTAACCCATATCTTCTTCTTCTCTTTTCTCAATGAAATCTTACGAGATCTAAATGGAAGGAATTCAAGATGAGATTTGCTAGAGTTGAGTTGCCTTTACTGCAATATGTCTGTGATTGTGGTTTGAAATAAAAAAGAAATAAAAAATAATAAAATTATGTTATTATCTCATCGCCCTCTCAATCTATCTTCTTCCTCACTTTGCTCCAATTGAGATTGAACCCAACAGAATTTGGGTTCTATGTCATCGAACCTAGTTGCTGGGTTTCATTGAAGCCACTTATTGGGTTTGATGAATATAGTAGATCACATCAAATCAAATTAACCCATCAATAAACAATGTCAATCAAACTCTAATCAAATTCTAACAAAAATGCAATCAAATTATAAATCAACTCCCAAATTTATCAAGAACTGGGAATAGAAATCGAAAGAAGAATAAAACTTGACAAACAGCAAAAATGGGTTTTGTCAAACCTGGTGTTGAGTTCAACAAAACCCAAATCGGTTGGGTTCCGTCAGACCTAGCACAGTTGGGTTTCAATGGAACCCAGCTGATTTGGGTTCCATCAAACCCAACTATGTTGAGTGAGACGAAACCCAGCCAATCTAGGTTTCGAAGAGCTAGGCACACCATGAAGAGGGCTAGGTAATGAACCTCGACTCAATCAAACAACTCGGTCAGATCTAGGTTCAGTGATCGAACCCAAAGGTCAGAGAGAAAGAAAGAAGGGAAAAAGATGGATCAAGAGGGTAGGGGTGAAGGTGATAAAGTCATTTTGTTTATTTTTATTTTTTGTTAAAATATAAATATTCATATGATGTGGCATTTTTATTTGTTTATGTAATATAATTATAAGATATATTATTGCCACGTCATTAAAAGATTTAAAAGAAAATGCTGCATGGAATTATTAATGACCACGCCATGCTTAACTAACAGAAGGACTAAAATTGTGCATTGCTTAGAGTTGAGGGATCAAAAAAGTGCAAAAGATAATAGAGGGACCAAAAAAGTGTAAACTAATAAAGTTGAGGGACCAAAATTAGCATTTAACCTTATTAAAAAGATGAATTTGCACTAGTAATTGAAGTTCTAATTTGACTGCTATAAATTTTTGTATATACCAAAAAAATCAACACAGCGATCTCAAATCAACAACGCAAACTCACTTAACCTAGCAACTCCATAGTGCCTCCAATCGAAAAATTAAGGGGAAAATTAGGGATTTTGGGTGGGAAAAACCAAAGAAAATAATGGGGAGGGGAGGAAGGGTGGCTTACTTGAAAATATACTCAAATCCTCAAACTCCTCACAGTCGTCTCACGATAAGTAACAGCAATTAGGGATTTTCGTGGTGGTCTAGGCAGTCGTCCGCGATCATCGCATGGTCCAAATCTGGAAGAAGATGGGAACGAGAAGGGATTTTCAGTTAAGTCTCTCACCAACTCATGCTACCAACCAACAATCATCATTCATCACCACCAAATTAGTAGCAGAAACACCAAAAAAAGGACAAAAAAAAATCAGAGAAAAGGAAGGAGACACATAAAAGAAGAAGAAGGAGAAATGGGATTTTGGCCTTTTTGTTGGTTGAGTTGTGCTTTTCTGCTTTGAAACAGTTAGGGAGAAAGAAAGCTGGTGACTAAACGGTGGGGATTTTCCAGTTTGGTTAGGAAGAAGATAGGTAAGAAGACAAGGAGAAGAAATGTAGGATTTTGGGCTGCTGGAGAAAGAAAGACCAGCTTATGAGAAGTTGCAGCATTTTTCACTGGTTATGGTATTTGGTGCAGCTTGTGCTTTTGAAGTCAAAAAGACTTTCCCACAGACTGCACCAAATAGGCCTTTAAAGGTAAACATGGTTTTTTTAACTTAGAAGGAAACACTGAAGGAAAAATTTCGTAAAAAATAGTTATATAATCAAAGAGAAAATCGGGGAAACAATTCCAATGTTTGTTATACTATCAAGGACAAGTAGATCGAATTGCCCAAGATCCAAATCCTCAGGCTCCTCACGCTTGACTCCGGTGGCAATAGGTGAGCACTTTACTTCACAGTAGTCAACTAGGAAAATTAAGGGGAAATTAGGGATTTTGGGTTGCAGGTAGGTTGAGAAAGAAGAAGAGGAAGAACCAAAGAACCTAGAATGAACTGATGAAGACGAGGAACTGAAGCAGATGGGGAAGAACCGAACAAGACGAGGAATGAGAATTAGGGATTTTTGGTTTATGGAGAAAGAAGACAAGGAAGAAGATGATATGGATTTTTGGTTTGCTGCTCTAGTTGGATGAGGATGAAGATGGGCCAAGAAGATGGGACAAAAACACAAGCAATGATTTTGGGCTACTTGAGAAAGAAACAGGAATGGTGTTATAAATGGAACCCTATGTATAGTGGTTTCTTTGTAAATAGAAGGAAATCTGAGGATAAAATAGAGATAATAAGTAAAATTCATTAAAACCGGAAGTAAAAGCTCTTGCGAAGTACCAATTCTATGTTTTTGAAATTTGCATTAGAATGGAGAAAAGACTAACTTGTGAAAAGTTGAATTATTTTTTAAAAGTTGTAATGTTGAGCGCAGCTTGTATTTTTAAAACCAAAAGGTCCTTCTCATAAGCTGCACCAAAGAGGCCTTTAATTGTTTATATGACCGGACTCTATGCCTTTTGTTTATCTAGTGTTGCTGTTTCATTTATTCTTTCATTCTTTCTTTTATTATTTTTCTTTTTTTA